CCACCTCCCTCGCCACCAAAATCCACTTCCTCCTCGTCATTCTCTTCTACTCACGTCCCTGTATTAGTGTCTTCCAATGGACTGGAGTTTTTATCTTTTTCTAGGCACTTCGGATGGAGAGATTAGAGCTCACCTCCAGGGATCTCATCCCTGACAAAGGGGCAGACACTTAGCACGAATGGAACACGGGTCCAGTACTTACTTTGTGCGGGGCACTGTTCTAAACTTCAGCCTGCTCAGATTTACATCTATGTCTCCGCCGCTCCTAGAGTAGTCACCCCCATTTTATGTGAGACTCTGAGACCAGAGAAGGTAGGGAAGTTCAGCCGTCACTCAGAAAGTAAGCAGCAGAGCTGTGCCCTGGGACCCGAGTATTTCAGTAGTCTCTGATCAGCCTACTGAGTTGCTAGCGTAAGGATTAGAACCAAAGACCTGGGGACACCGTCAGGTGCAAGGGCATTTGGAACAAAGAAGATCCAGAAAGAGAGAAAGTAAAGCCCTACTTACATTGAGGGAATTCTGAGCTTGTAATGTTGAAAGATGTGAAAGTTATTCGGTACCAGGCAATAAAGTAATCGTTTGATTACATTCACTTTTCTTTTTCATCTTAAAACCTGGGCAGTGCTATTTCTATTCAACTTTTTTCAGGAGAGAAAACAAGCTTAGAAAGGCAGGTGATTCACTGTGGGTCACCCACATGGAAAGCCTCTGCAGCAGGAAGGGCAGGGCTGACTCAGAAATGACGTCTCCTGCACTGAAGTATCCTTTAGTAGCTTACTGGGAATCGCTGCAAGTTTGGGGGAGGGGCGGATATGGGGATACATCCTCTAAAAAGACAATTGTTCAAGTCGGAGCCTGTTCTTGTATATTCAGTGTCTACTCCTGTGTCTGTTTTGCTATCTTATGTGTCAGTCCCGGATTTCCAGCCAACTTCTTCCACCATGGGACCCCCGACATTTACCTCCTCATTTAATCCTCAAAACCACTAGTGGGTACTGTTGTTACCTTTACTGTATTTTTACTTTTCTATTAGTACATGTTTGAAGTACATAAAGTTTGTGTTCCTTGTGTGGATACAATAAAGAGTATGCAGCAGAAATGCTGGCACATACCTGTAATCCAAGCTACTCAAGAGACTGAGGCAGAAGAATCTAAAAGTTCCACACCAATCGGGGCAACTTAGTAAGGTTCTGGGGGAAAAAAAAAAAGATTCTTAGGGAAAAAAAAGTAAAATATGACTGGGATATAGCTCCTTCGCGGAGTGCTTGCCTTGCCTGCATGAGCCATTAGGATCAAAACTTAGTACTGAAAAAAATTAAAAACACCCAAAATTTCAAGACAAAAATGTAAAAATAGAAATGCACAAATAATAGTAGGTACAGATATATAGTGCATAGTATAATGATAATTTTAAACAAAAAAGTAATAGTAATATATTGGGAGAGTTTTCTTTTTATTTTTATTTGCTTTGAGGTGGGCTATTGCTAAGTTAACTCAAACTTGCAATCTTCTGCCTCAGCCTCTGAGTAGCTGTTATTAAATTTCTGCCCTGAGACAAAGACTGTGATTGAAGCTGGTTTTTGCAAGACAGGGATCTGTAGCCTGGCACTGGTACAGACCTTTAACCCCACTACTATGGAAGGCTGAGGCAGGTGGATTTCAAGTTAGTAGAGAGGCTGGGCAACTTAACAAGACCCTGTCTCAAAAATACAAAATAGGTTGGGGATATAGCTCAGTATGAAGAGCCTGGGTTCAATGCCCAGTACTGCCAAAAGAAAAAAGGGGAAGGGGACCTAAATTGCAAATGCCAGAAATCTGTGAGCAAAAGAATAAAAAATACTGTGATGTGCTTTAATTATTTGACATGAAACAAATTTTGAAGCACAGTATTACATAGGAGTACATAAATTGTAATAATGAGGAATTCAGTTTATTGACAATTTTTAATTTCTGTGCACATCAAAAATTTGTATTTTTGGATAAACAGCAAAATAACTGAAAATCAGATAAACCCACTTCCAAAGTGGTTGGTTTAAAATACCTCTCCAAGGAAGAGCGGGCAAGAACATGAAACAATTTAGAAGGTAGGCAGTTTCACGCAGAAGATGAACGGGTTGACCTAATGGTTGTGTACAGCCAGAAATAAATCTAGGGTTGAGAGACGATTAGAAAAGACTGTTGTGGGCCGAGGATTTAGCTCAGCGGTTCGGTGGCCTGCCTCACAAACACAAGGACCCGAGTTCAATCCCTGGTACAAAAAAAAGAAAAGACTGTTGCAGTGAGGAGAGCACCCCAGCCTCAGGATCTGCAAGGATCTCACGATAAATGGGGAAGGGTGCTCCTGTCCTAGAGGGAGGGGTGAGCAGGCCCGGCAGAAAGGCCCTGGGAGAGGGAGGCAGGTGGCAGGGGAGCAGGCAGCAGCGTCTCCATGGACTTCCGGGAATGTTTCCTTGGTCTCCGGATTCTTGGAATGGGGACCTAGAGGAGCAGGTCTCTCTCCTACCCTTGTGTACACCCAAGCACGGGCCAAAGGACAGGGCCTTTGGCGGGGAGAGAAGCTTGACTAGAGTGCTGTCAAGTCAGTGAGTAATGACGGCCACGAGGCGGCTGTGAACCTGTGCAGTGGAGGACGCAGAACCACGTGATGCAGAATACACACTCTTCTCAGGTACACGAAGCAACACACTGTCCGTGTGCTGGCCATAACAGGAGTCCACACATTCCAAAAGCTAAAAATGATAGGAGGTACGTTTTTATTAAAAAGTAATTAAGCAAAACCCCAGTAACAACATAACCTGAATTCCTAAATGTTTGAAAACGAATACACTTACTTCTAAAATAAACAGCAATGCAAAACAGAATATGAGCGAATGCTAACAGATAGCAGTGCCTGTGGACAGCCAGAGCAGTGCTTAGAGGTCAGTTTATATCTTCCTGACAGATGCACGATAATATAAAACGTCTGGCCCTCGGCGTGGTGCTGCGCATCTGTCCTTTCAGGTTCTTGGGAGACCGAGGCAAGAAGATTCCCTTGAGTCCAGTTCAAGGCCCGGTGAGCAGAAGAGCTTGACCCTGTCTCAAAACATAGATGCACACGATTTCAAAAGAGAACACTGAGTACCCGACACACAGACAAAAGCAAGACGATACAGATTAGATGGTGTGTCAGTGAGAGCCATAAAGGTGCCAAACCTCCAGCTATCCTGCTCAAGGGGAAAGAAGAAAAGACTCAGATTACTCATTCTGAGAATGACAGACATGCTAGCATGACAAATCACACAGATTTTTAAAAATATCAGGGTGTGTTTGAACTTTATGTTGCTGCAACTTACAATGCAGATACAATGGGCCAACTCCTTGAAAGCTCACTGAGGTAGAAATGTGAAACCTGAGTAGCCCTGTATCTACTACAGAAATGGATATTGTGGTTAGAAACCCTCCTAGAAAACTCTTGTTATGGGCAATGTGTTTCCTGGCTGGACATGGAGGTGCACACTGTCATCCCAGCACTCTGGGATCAGGAGGGTCACAAGGTCCAACCCCACCTGGGCAGCTTGGCGATGTAACCAGACCCCAGTTCAAATACAAAGGAGCTGGGAATGTGTGGCGCTCCCTCCATGAGAAGGCGGCCTTGGGTTCAATC